TGGAGGAAGCACATGTAAGGAAGTTTGAGGTGGAGGAAAATTTAATGGAGGGAGGACCCACAGTGTAGCAGTCAGAGAACTAGAAATCTAAGTGACCGCTGCACTTGTGCGGCTTCAGGAGGACTGTGGCCCCAGTAACACCACCACCAGCTGGTACTGACGGAGAAGCTTTGCTCAGGGCTTTGTAGCGCCAGTTTACTGCCTTTGACCGCCATGTGAGAGATGGCCATTTCCCAGATGAATGAAAAAAGACTCGGCATGCTCACGCAACAGGCCCAAGGAGGCAAGTCCAGGTCTGTCAGACTTTTAAACCTCACTCATTTGATTGTGAGGCTTATGAGCAGAGAGTCTCTTGAGCTAAACTGCATGGTTCACTTACTCGCATGTAAGTTGGTGCAGTCACTGTGGAGAACAGCATGAAGCTTCCTCAAAAAGTTAAAAATTGAATGACCATGTGACCCAGGTATCCTACTTCCAGATGTATATCTGAAGGAATCAAAATCAGGGTCTCCAAGAGATATCTGCACACCTATGTTCATTGCAGTATTATTCATAGTAGGCAAGATATAGAAACAACCTAAGTGTCCATTGTCAATGAAGGGATAAAGAAAACGTGATGCGCACACGTGCGTGCACGCGTGCACACACACACAGTGGAATATTATTCAGCCATAAGACAGAAAGAAATGTCACCATTTGTGACAACATTGGTGGGCCTTCAGGGCATCTGTGCTAAGTGAAATAAAGAGAGGAAGACCAATACTGTATGAACTCATTTATATGTGGAATCTAAGAAAGCTGAACTCGTAAAAGCAGAGAGTGGAATGGTGTTTACCAGAGGCTGGAGGGGTAGAGGGAGTGGGGAGGTGTTGTTTAAGGGTACAGACCTGCAGTCAAGTCAAAAAATATATTCTGGAGACCTAATGCCCAGCATTGTGATTATAGTCAACAACACTGTATTATAGACTCCAAAGTTGCTAACAGTTGAGGGGGTGAGTTGGTTAAGAAGGTGCTCCCAGAGAGAGGCAGTAAAGACAAAGCCTGCCCAAATGAGGAGAGTTAGCTTACAGTCTGTGTTTCTTTCTGAGCTCCCATCTAGTAGAACCAGGCTTGCTGAGCAAACTTGGAAATATAGTGTTTAGATTTAAGGCATTGTTTTTTGTGGGAATTACCTACCTATCATTATCATTCTAACTGAACTATTGATGATAACTAAGAGTGTATGTGTGTAGACAGAGAGGGAGATGTATAAATATGTATCTTTATAAATAAAGATGCATATGTAAAAATATATGGATACACAGATATTATTATATACATATTTACATCTCAATCGTCTATCATCTATCTATTTATCTATCTATCATCTATCCATCTAACTAATTATCTATCTGTCTCCCTCTCTCTCTGTCAATCTGCCTGAAAATCTTTACCTCAGACTCAAGAAATTCTTTCAATAGATTACTGGCCATCCTCACCTGGGGTAATCATAAGTTGGGAGCTAGCAAACTATACCTTGTGGCCCCAATCCATTCCTCTGTCTATTTTTGTATAGCCCTCAGGTTAAGAACACTTAAAAAAAATTTTTTTTTTACAATTTTAAAGAGTTGTAAACACACACACACACACACACACACACATACACACACGTGACAGAGACCACCTACAGCCCACAAAGGCTAAAATGTTTACTATCTGGCCCTCTGCAGAAAAAAAGTTGCTGATGCCTATCATAAGTGAATTCAGTAAGTCTAAAATAGAATTTATTTTTCTCCACAAAACTCCTCCTCTTCCTCCTCCTCTTCTTCTTCTTCTTCTTCTTCTTCTTCTTCTTCTTCTTCTTGTCCCTATATTCATGAAAGGCCCCATAATTTATCCAATTAGGCCACCTCATGGATTAGTAAAAATCTGGGGGAGCGTTTCATATTTACTGCCTGCCATATCCAGATTTGCTTAAGGGAAATTTGTTACCATCAGAATACCCTTTTCTCAATGGGATGCCTTCTTCCCTCTTCTCCGTCCTCATCTATGAGCCCCACAATAGCAGCCACTCTTGGTATGTAGGACATGACGTTGTCTTCAGAGTTGATTTCAAGTGGCTGAGAGATGCTGTATTGCAGACGTAGGAATTGTTCCCATGTAGGACTTAACCCCTTTCTTAGTTTCCACACTCCACGGTCTTCGTGTCCATATGAGCTGATGTCATCAGACAGCAAGTATTCTCATTGGACTCCATAGCTGCCTTTAAAGAATTTAAACCACTATGGAAAACAATATGGAGTTTCCTTAAAACATTAAAAATAAAACTACATGTGATCCAACAATTCCACCTGTGGATATGCGTCTGAAGAAAAGGAAGTCACTATGTTGAAGAGATATCTACACCCACTGTTCACTGAAGCATTATTCACAACAGCCAAGACTTGGAAGCAACCTAAGCATCCATTGCCGGATGAATGAGAAAACAAATGTGGTATACGTATGATGGAATATTATGCAGCCATAAAAGGTAAATGCTCCCATTTGTGGCAACATGGATGGACCATGAGGGCATTACAGTATGTAAACTAAGTCAGGGAAGACAAATATCATATGATCTCACTTCTATGTGGAATCTTAAAAAAACCCCAAACTCATAGAATAAGAGATCAAATTTGTGGTTACTGGAGGCAGGGGTACAGGAGAGTTGGGTGAAAGTGGTCATAAGTACAAGCCTCCAGCTATAAGACAGATAAGTACTGGGGGTATAATCTACAACATGACTACAGTTAACACTATGCAGTGTGGTACTTTGAGAGTAGATCACCAAAGTTCTCATCACAAAGGCAAACATTTTATTTATAACTGGATGAGGTGATAGATGTTGACTAAACATTGTGGCAATCATTTCATAACATGTAGGAATGTCAAATAATTATGCCGTACACCTTAAATAGTGTTGTCAATTATATCTCAATAAAATTGGAAGAAAATAAAAATAAAGGAACCATATTGAAGAACATTGATGGTACACCTTAGAGTCTGTTCAATTTATTCATTCCCATATGCTTTTGCATTTTGAATTTGTTTGGCTTTCTCCCCAGAGTAGTTTCAGATCTGGAGAACCAGGTAAGCTATTTTTGGTAAGAATTCATCAACGTTTTTAAGTGATTCAGAGCTTTTTCCAGATTTCCTGTGCTGTGTTAAACTTTGCCTGCACTAGAAAGTACATATCTTACTATGGAATGTGCATCAACCCTCTATTAGTGACCTCTCTACTTTTTTCCTCATGCTGCTTCTGAAGTTTCAAGGCCAAAATATTAGGGTATTATTTGTTAAGATTCAGTTCAAAGACCCTTCTCAGGAACGAGGGATTTCTCTGTTGGTTGTCCCTATCATTCTTTGTCGTTTGGCTAGAATCTCTGGTCTCCAACCCAGGGTCATGGCAGTTCACTGGTCTTTGCCAGTGCATTTGGAAGTCTGGAATCCTGCCTGTAGATGGGAACCTTCTTCACTCTCATTTCACCCTGTTTTCCACATCCACTTCTCAGAGAGAAAGTTAATCCCTGGATGTTTCTCCAAAACTGTCCCCCAACTTCATGGCTGCCCAGGGCCGCCTCACACCCTGCATCCATCCTGCTCTAAGTGATAGTCCCTTTTGACTAAATTCACTGGAGATTAAATGCTCAGTGAGCTAAGTAGGAGGGAAGAAGGTGGCGTATGTCATAGAAAAGGACAGGGAGGGCAGTGGACAGCCAGGTTTCTGTTCATCCCTAAAGCACTGGACTTTGAAGTAAACATATCACACCAAACAAAATATCATGGCTGGTAAGTTTTGAACAATTCTCATCTCCTCTTCTTTTCAAAATTACTCCACTTCTAATAATGCAGTTAAAAATGGCAGCTATTTTTCTGGGGGTACATGATCTTCTAGATAACAACTGATCCTTCACATAAGCCATGTTCTTTGTTTTTTTAATGTTTATTTATTTTTGAGACAGAGACAGAGACAGAGACAGAGACAGAGAGAGAGAGCAGGGGAGGGGCAGAGAGAGAGGGAGACACAGAATCAGAAGCAGGCTCCAGGCTCTGAGCTGTCAGCACAGAGCCCGATGCAGGGCTCAAACTCACGAACTGTGAGATCATGACCTGAGCTAAGACTGACGCTTAACTGACTGAGCCACCCAGGCACCCCCACATAAGCCATGTTCTTAAGCATATTTTATATGAGTTGCGGTAAAGCAGTTGACAAAAATCTCTTCCATTCTGTCTGTTTCCATTGTATATTCTTTTATAATATATTTGATATAATGTACTATTAATTTATTTAGAACATGCTTGTGTATTCTTTTAAATATTACATATAGTATTTAAAATTAGCATTATTTTATATTATATAGTATAAATATTTATATGTAAATACAGTATTGTTATAGCAATATTTAAATATCACATATACAATAAAAATGTATCAGAATATTGTATAGTATTTGTATTATTATCAGAATATATTTTATATATAATATGTAAAAGTGGACATTCTATCACACATTACATAATATTCTGTTATATATCCATATAATCTGTGTTTTTTTAAGTTTATTTATTTTGAGAAAAGGGAGAGCATGTGCAGGGGATGGGCAGAGAGAGAGGGAGACAGAGAATCCCAAGCAGGATTCACAATCAGCAGAGCCCAACTCGGGGCTGGAACTCACCAACCATGAGATCATGACCTGAGCTGAAATCAAGAGTCAGATGGTTAACTGACTGAGCCACCCAGGCAGCCCTATATTCATATAATTTGTATGTTTGTATCAATGATATATATTCTATGTGCTTCTATTAGTACTTTTTTTAACCTAAACTTTATATTTTTCACAGTTTAATTCTATTTTGTGAGATTTCTTGCCTTTTCCAAAGCATGAAGAACTATTTGGGGCCTGTCTTTATAATTCTACTTTTTTTTTTTGGCTAATATTCCAAACTAACATAATCTAATTATTGAGTCCTCTAGACCTGAAGTAAAATAGGGCAATTTTCTAGCTGTGTGTCCTTGGGAAAGTTACTTAACCTCTCTTTGCCTCTGATGCTTATCATATTTGTTTGTATAAGGATTAAATGAAATTAAAAAAAAAAAAAAAAAAGCTTGGTGCCTGGCAAATTGTAAGCCGCTGATCAATGTTAATTCCATTTTATGATTGCATGGCCATTATGCGGGCCTCCTCCAGAGCCCCCGACACACTGAAGCAGAGAGAGAGTTCTCTCCTCAGTCTTGTTTGTATGCCTTCTGGACACAGTGACGACATCCCAGCTATTCTTGTTTTGGACTTGAGTTTTGGAGTCAGTCTAGCACGGCCTCTCTTGCTTGTCAGAGGTCTTATATAAGGAGACCACATGTCTTGTCCCCTCTTCTCTCTCTTCCTGTGTAGATGGGACATCATTAGAACTGAGAAGATTAAACCACCCTTGATAATACATACTGCCTGAGAAAGAAACTCAGTAAATTACTTCGGTGAGAATCATTCTTTCTCTTGTTGTCACCCTCTTGCTGGTGTCTTGGAGACTCTTGGCCCTGAGCCTGATTTACACAAAGATTTATTCTGACCCAGGAGAGAGGGACTGAAGAAAAGAGGCAGATTTGTAGAACTGGTCCTCAAGACATCACCGTGCCCTCCACTTTTATGCAGTGTTCTGTATTTTCAAGTTAGCTTTGTAATTCAGCTAAGAGAGACTGGATCCCTTAAAAACAAAACAAACCAGGGATACTTGGGTGGCTCGGTCGGTTAAGCGTCTGACTCTTGATTTCGGCTCAGGTCATGATCTCATGGTTCATGAGATCGAGCCCTGCGTTGGGCTCTGTGCTGAGAGTGTGGAGCCTGCTTGGGATTCTGTCTGTCTGTCTGTCTGTCTGTCTCTCTGCTCTCTCAAAATAAACAAAACCAAAACAACAAGCGGGGGTATGCTCCCATAAGGAGAGTGGGAAGGGACTGTTATTTGTGTAAAAATGACCATAGAATAAAAGACACTGGGGCGTGGAGGGGGGTTTCAAACTGCAGTGTCTGCCTTGTTTACCTGGAAGGAATGCATGAATGAAGGGAGGCACCCGCTGCTCCCAGTCACAGCCCCAAACCCAGTCATGGGCAGAAAAGCACCTTCTAAGTGATTTCCTCTGCTTAAAAATAATCATCAATAATGGATCAATGATGGTTCCCTGTGGTTTGTCTATTTTTTTCTCGAGTGCTGAGGGGAAATTCAGGGAAACTGAACTCGGAAAACATATTCTGTCCATCCATCCATCCATCCATCCATCCATCCACCCACCCTGCATCCATCATTTCTCTTCATTGTTAATTCAGTCAATATTTATTGAATTTCAACCATGTGTGAAGCATGGTTCTATACCTCTAATATTTGAATAGAATACAAATAAAAGTAAGGATAGCTAGCATTTATTGATCCTTAACCACGCTCTACGAATTCTTTTAATTGTTCTGCATATACCATTGTATTTCCTCTCTGAAACAGCTTTGTAATATGTCTTGTGATTATCCCCTTTGTAGAGATCAGGAAGCAGACTAAAAGGGATTAAATACCTGCAGAAGATCAATTTGCAAGCGATGGAACTTTGATTCAGTCCCGGTGGTCTGACTCCAGAACCAGAACTGGGGCTAGGGCAGGTGAGTGAGGACCTACGGTGTAAAGTTTAAGGAGACGCTCGGTCTCAGGGTGGTATAAACACTGCCCTTGCACGCATGACCTTCATTGTGAGTGTTTCCTTAAATGATGGGCCCAAGTACATCCACACTCCTCTCACCCTATCTTTTCTGAGCCTTGCCCAGCACCTCCATTTTCAAACACTGCCCTTTGTAGATGAACTTTCTCTCCACAACGATGCTCTGGAATAGAAAGGTCACACTGTGACCTGAGCTGCCAGTGCTGTCACACAAACTTGGAGGTTGAGGGCTGGCGATAACGTGGAAATGAATGAAGTCATAACAAAGCCTTTGTTCACTGCCGTTAGAGGGTTCTTGCTGAAGCACCTGGCATACGTCGGCGGTTTGATAGCCTCTGAGTTGGGATGGGATGTAAATGGATGCCTTGCTAAAACTTACGTACTTTAAATAAACTGAAGCCTAAAAGGGTAAAATAATTGTCAAGACTAGAATTGGCAGAAATAAAACTAGATCCATGAATTTCTGAGTCCCTGGTTTCACGAAGTGTCTGATTATTGGTCGGGGTTCAGTGAGAGAAATGGAGCCCCTGGGAGATATATATGTATATCTTATAGGAATTTGGTTTTACGCAGTTGTGAGATCTGGCTAAACAGCCTCTGTGGGGCTCTTGTCTTCCTGTCTGATGCTGGAGCATAAAGTCTGCCTGCGGGCAGTGGAGAAAGGAAGGTGGACGTGACACGGGGAGAAAGGGACAGTCTGGGGCCATGCACTCTGCGTCCCCACAGCAATGGACTGGATTCCAAGCCAGCTGTCACTGCTTCCCAATTTCTTCTGGAGGAGAAGCTGGTGTCCTTAGCAAGGAGCTAAGAGCACACTGGCCCAAGACTCGGAGAAGCTGAAGGAGGATCCAGGGCAAGGTGGAAGAGTTGTGGGTCTGGCACACCAAGGGTTTGAGCCAGAAGATTAGCAACAGTGTGCCATAGCTACAAAAACACCTGCCCTGCCCTTCCAAGCATCACAAGCAAAATGACTTCTTTTCTAGGGCCCCCCCCCCCACGTCGCATACAAAGATGTGTCCTGAGACACCCTGCCTGGGAACATGCAGAGAAGGAAATTCTGGGAAACGGTTCGGTCTAGTCAAGTTGACACATGACAAAGCCCTCACAGTTCACAACTATCCCTCCTTTTTGCCTAACTCAGTTGCTACTATGTGAGCCTGTGTGCAGTGCCTCCTAAAACCTAATGCCTTTTCATCTTAGAAAATGTTGAAGAACAAAAGTGCATTTTTGATTTCTGGGATGATGGCAGGAGTCATAGCACTGGAAGCCAACATATTAGGATTAATGTGGCTATAAAGATGAGAAGTCCAACAAAGAGACCCTTAGTAGTTGACCATAACTCTCTCCAAACCAGGAATGTAACCAATCATTGAGAGAGAGAGAGGGATCTTGTGGAACCTCAGTTTGATCCTTCATATCTTTTAATAGCCCTGTGACATTTTTGATAATCTGGGATGTATACACAGCACTCTGTTTTTTTGTTTTTTTTTTTTAAAAATTTTTTTTCAACGTTTATTTATTTTTGGGACAGAGAGAGACAGAGCATGAACGGGGGAGGGGCAGAGAGAGAGGGAGACACAGAATCGGAAACAGGCTCCAGGCTCTGAGCCATCAGCCCAGAGCCCGACGCGGGGCTCGAACTCACGGACCGCGAGATCGTGACCTGGCTGAAGTCGGACGCTTAACCGACTGCGCCACCCAGGCGCCCCCACAGCACTCTGTTTTAATAATGGCACATGCGCCATCTTGTGTTGCTGTTAGGACATTGAAAGCCATTCTGTTTTGTAGAACCACTTTGTGTATCTGTGCGACTTCAGTATTACATAAGGAGAAGCTGTTCTGTGAATCAGCGAGTGCCTTTAGGGTGTATTTAGTAAGGGCTTCCATAAGCCAAATTACACTTTCAAATTACAAATGGAGCAAAAATGGACACCAAATGATCATGCCATTGGAAAACAGACCATGTCCATCTTTGTTTTCAGTTGGGAAGATTAGCTGGGGTAGTGACGGTTTTCATAACATACCCATGAGTCCAGGCAAAACCTGAGGTAGGACGACCTGTCCACCTTGGAGGAAGCCAGAGTCACAGGTTATCCCACATAACCAGCGTCTTTCGTTTCAAGCTGGCCATCTGATTCCAGGTCGCCTTATCCAACCAGCAGCAAACCAGTCAGCAGCCTGAAGCAAAATGGTGTGAGAACAACTTTCTAATGACAGCCATCCTAAATGTCACATGCTATTTGCCCAGGTATCATATGTATGATTTCTTTGCTCCCAGCATAAAATTGACTTTTGACTGAGCTATCCAGTGGTGGGTATGAGCCATAAATATGCATCCCAAATTTGATATATGCCATCTGCGGTATAGTGATAAGTAGCATTTTGGAACTTAGGCACTTGTTGGCAGGAATCAATTTGTGGGTTTGTAAAGTTAGCCAATATTTTAAGAGTTTGAGGGTATGAAAAAGTCTGGTTATGTCCTGGTAAGTTCCATGTCCTATTGATCATGGGTCAGGAAGAAACATTCTGATTAGTGATAGATTTATCACGAAACGTAGTATCATTATGTATTATTTCTGAAATATAAGTATATAGAGAGTGTCAATCAGTGCCTTGTAAAGGGGAAACCCATCAGCGAGGCCCGGATGTACTTGACGTGGGCAAAACGTCACATACCCAACAAGCTGTCTGATTTTGTAGTTCAGCGCCTTGTAGGAAGGAGTTGTCAGCAAAGATAGGTGAAAACAAAGAGAAAATATGCAATCTTCATCATCATCTGAAGAGGAATTTAAGATCTTCTACAGGTGCACAGGAGCAAGAAGACACTTTAGTTTGCTCATTGGTTTCCTGAGTGCTCACACTCTGTTTCTCTTTCTCTCTGAAAAATGAATAAACATTAAAAAAACATTTAAAGTATGGTTAGTTTTCTCTACCTTCCCAGAGGACTGTGGATGCCAGGCTGAACATCGAAAATGTTTAATTTTTAAAAACAATTTTTATGTTTATTTATTTCGAGAGAGAGAGAGCGTGAGCGGAGGAGAGACAGAGAGAGAGGGAGACACAGAATCCGAAGCAGGCTCCAGACTCTGAGCTGGCAGCACAGAGCCCGATATGGGGCTCAAACTCACGAACCACAAGATCGTGACCTGAGCCAAAGTCGGACACTTAATCGGCTGAGCCACTCAGGCGCCCCTGAAAATATTTAATTTTTAAAGCTTGTGCTATTTATTGTTGAGTTTTTGCGCAGTAGAAGGACCATTGTCACTTTGGAAGGATTGTGGAAGGCCAAATCTAGGAATAATTTCTCACAACAAAACTTTGGTTACTTTCATGGCTCTTTCAGTTTTTTTGCAGAAAGGCCTCAATCCATCCAGCGAAAGTACCCACAAACACGAGTAGGAACTTACAGCCTTTGCAAGGAGGCATTTGTGTGAAACCAAGCTGCCAGCCCTCTCCTGGATATGATCCACGCCTTTGGATTGGGTTCAGACGTGGGGGAGGGCGGAATGTGCCTCCCGGATTTTTACTAGGACACAAACAATACAGGATCAGCAGACCTGTTTCTTGTAGTCGTTAAGTTTACTCCATCAAATATATTTTTAATTAGAAACTTTCAAGCATTTTTGCCCAAATGAGTAGCCTGGTGTAAACCCCGTATTACCTTCCATTGGTTATTTTTGAGTATAAAGACTTTCCCTTCATTAGTAACAAGCCAGTCCCGTGCATTTTTGCAATATCCTCGTTCCAGGGCTATGCGAATTTCCTGGTCTGAATAGACTGGAGTCTATGGACTTTTTTGGCGTTGAGGCTGGTATCAAACTTAATATTTGTTTATTTTGTGCTGCCTGTTTGGCCGCACAGTCTGCCAGATTGCTTCCTTAAATTCTAAGGTCATGTCCTTTGGATGTCCTTCAAGGTGAATTACAACTACCTCCTTTGGTAGGTGGACCACCTCAAGAAGAGTAATGATTTCAGGCCCATATTTGATTGGGGAGTTATGGCTTGATAACACTCCCCTTTCTTTCCAGGTTGCTCCACCGGAAAGGTGGCACCAGAAAAGCATATTTGGAGTCAGTATACATATTCATTGTCAGGCCTTTTGCCAGTTGAAGAGCACGAGTTAAGTGCTATTAATTCAGCCTTTTGAGCAGAAGTTTTTACTGGAAGGGTTTTTGCCTCAATGGCCTTAATTAAACTATAGTCTGTCCAGCTTTTCTCTCTCCCTTATTGATGAGGCTACTGCTGTTATGCCCAGAATTCGTGATCCCCAAAGACCACTAGGGAGCCGAGTCCGATGCAAAAGCAAAAGAGCCTTTATTCGAGCTAGCTCGAGCTCAATCCCCTACCTGCACTGACGCAGCAGTGAGATACCAGGGAGAGAGAGCGAGTTTCAAAAGGACAAAGGTTTTATTGGGGTCTAGGGACAGTTGGTGAGGTAATGGCTGTGGCCTCAGCCGATTGGCTGGGGAAGGGTCTGAGTCCTGTTAGGCAGGTGAGCTGGGGGGTTACTCAAGGGGAGGAGGTGTGGTCAAGGTGAAGGACACAGAACAAGATGGAGTTGGCCGGCGTAGGCCCACCCTTTCACTGCCATCAGTAATCCCACTGTCATCTACATTTTCAGTAGGGGAATCTTTGAAGTCTGATCGGGTGGACTACACAAGATAAAAAATCTGTGAGTGGTCACGGTCTCACCCAGGAGTATGGTGGTCAGGCCTGGGCATCAGGGTATCTGGGTTCAAAGCTGGACAGGTTGTAAGTATTATTTCTGGAGTATCTAAAAGCACAGCCTGGTATTTAGGAAGTGGGCGTCCCACCATCCATTGGTGGCCCTTGGTCTCTAGGACACCCTGGACCTGATGTGGAGTCATACTGTCAGGGGCTTGTCCCATGGTAAGTTCTGAAGCTTCTTCTCCCAGGAGAGCTGTTGCAGTCACTGCTGGAAGGCAGGCCGGCCACCCTTGAGCTACACTGTCAAGTGACTTTGAAAACTAGCGCACGGGTCTTGTTTCCTTTCCTCACTTCTGGGTAAGAGCCCCCAAAGCTTGTCCCTGTGTTTCTGCTACTTGTGAGGTGGAAGGTTTTTCTAAGTTTGGTAAAGCCAAGTGCAGCCTTTAACATTTGAAAGGCCGTCCGCTGGGCTTTAAGTCCCAAGTAAAGCTTCCTCATCAAAGCCTTTAATTTATACAATGGTTTGGCTAAGAGCCCAAATCCAGGAATCTGAGGGCAGCAAAAAATCTGCCATACCTAGGAAAGTACGGGGTTGTTTTTCTTTAGGTTGGGGTACAAGATCTAATATATAGCCTTTTTCCTGTCATTAGATGGGGTACGGTGACCTGGTGTTAACGCATTTCCCAAATATTGTACTTTCTGTTTATATATTTGCACCTTTTTAGGGGAGACGTGATACCCTCTGTCTGCCAAGAAATTAAGTAAAGTTATAGAATTGTTATCAGACATTTCTTTTGTGGGACTACAGATTAAAATATCGTCCACATATTGAACTATATAGTCCCTTGAGGCAGGGAGATATCACCAAGACATTAAAAAAAAATTTTTAACATTTATTCATCTTTGAGAGACAGAACACGAGCAGGGGAGGGGAAGAGAGAGAGGTAGACACAGAATCTGAAGCAGGCTCCAGGCTCTGAGCTGTCAGCATGGCAACATCATGACCTGAGCTTAACTGACTGAGCCACCCAGGCACCCCTTACTTATTGGGCTTTAAGAGCCCATCCTGGGACATCGCAATCCCAGACCTGTGGATTTACTTCCTTCCAGATATTAGAAGGGATGTCAGGGTAAGGTTTTAGCTCTCCGGGTGTTAGAGTACAAGCCGTCCCCTTCTTTTGTAAGAACAAACCTGCTTCCTAGGTTATACATTAAGTCTCATCCAAGTGATGGCATGGGACAAGATGGAAGGATTAGAAAAACATAAGTAACTGATTGACTTTGATATTTACAGGTCAAAGGCATTGTCTGACAGCACGATTTAGTTTCCGCTTCTATGCCAACAATTTCATGGTTAGAAAGACAAGTAGGGCCAGAGTCCTGAGTAAGAACAGAGTGAGTGGCTCCTGTATCGATAAGAAAGTTGGCAAACTCACCTTCCACATCCAGGGTAACCCGGGGCTCTGATGTCAAAGGGAGTGGGACCAGCCTCAGGGCCACCACCACGTCATGCCGGACCCCAGGCTCCTGCTCTCCAGCAGGGAAGTGAGTTCCTGTCCTCCCCTCTCTCTGGAGATGAGGACAGTCTCTCTTCCAAAGTCCTTTTTTCTCACAGACAGTACATGGTGCTGGGGGAAAGCATTTTTTCGGACATTCTTTTCTTTGATGTCCAATTTGGCCACACCCACACCCTGGCTTTTTCTTCAGCCCCTGGTGAGTCTGGTGTTGTGGGGAATCCACAATAGTGGCAGCCAATACTTGAGCCCATATTTTACCCTGCAATGTAGCGCTCCAGTCCTTTTCTTGTTTTAAGACCACATCTCTATCATTAAAGACTCCGGTCACTACTTCTAGGCGCTGCATTGGGGGTTGAGCGCCTACAGCCATTTTAGTCAGTTTTTGGCGGATATCAGGTGCTTATAAAATGCACCTATTACTTATAAAATGCATGCTTAGTACAGTTTCCCTTCAGGTGAGGTTGGGTCCAGACCCTGCAATAGAGCTGGATTGTCATCAGTTACTTGACTAACTTCCTGAATTTTACCAAAGTTTACAGGTTTAGAGAATTTTTTTTCATCCCTTCTATTAAACAAGCGATCCTATGACCTCATCTCTCCCTTCCCTGTCTAGCCTCTTGGTAATGCCAGTGTGGTTCAGTATTTGGGACAGCCGCGCCCCCTACAGGATAACCTTTCCTATCTCTTGTTGACAGATTATCCGTGAACTCTTGAGCCCCTGCACAGATATGGTTCTTCTCCTCAGGGGTGCAACAATGAGTTACTATGTTATATATATTGCCAGATCAAATCAAACATAATAGATAATTGTTGAAAGCCCTCAATAAACTGAGAAGGGTTTTCAGAATCTCATCCTAATTGTTGTTTTATCTGAGCTGGTTCTGCCATGGAGAACAGGATGAGGACTCTGATTGTGCCATGTGTTTCTCCATTAGCAACCTCCCTAAGAGGTTGCATTCCAAACTTAGGTGGGATTCCTGGAAGATACGGCGTCCTGCTCCTGATGTGTCCATCTGGGCTGGGAGCAGAGGGGTCTTGGGGTTTATAAGGAGGAGGGACAGCAACAGAGCCAGTGTCCTCTTTGTCTGGACTGGCCAGTGATTCCTCCAGTAGGAGGAAGGGACCTATTTAGACAGTCATCATCTAGTTTGTCCAGAGGGGGCTTATCAACCTGGTTGGTGGTTAGACACGTTCTGCAAAGGCCTTTAGATCGGGATCCTGATTTAGGGCCATGAAGGTCTGGTCATAGGGCACCTCAGTCCATTTTCCCTGCGTCTTGCAGAAGAGATCTAAGTGATAGATCGTACTGAAGCTTAATGTCCCACTAATGGGCCATTTTTCCTCAACTCCTAGGAGTACCGAGGCTATGCAATGTTACAGAGCAGATCAGTTTTTTTGTTCTTAGATCTTGCAATCTGAATTGATTCCAGTGGGTTAAAAGGCATTACAAGGGAGAGTCCTGGGGGACTGAAGGAAAAGATCCCATGCTCCTAGAAAAGTAGGGAAAGTCCATTACCAAAAATCCGCCCCCCCCCCACTACTGGGTGGAATCTCATGCAGGATATGTCAGAGGTTCCTGGTGTCAAAGAGACCCAAGGTGTCCCTTGAATGAAATTACTATTGACCATCATCCTGCTGTAAAGGGCCTGTAGGAGGGATGCTAGCTAGAACCCCTGTGCTTCCCCACTGTATCCTGGGCTACAAATGGGTGCCAGTGAATGGACCAAAATACTATCATTTGCCTTGCCTTGAAGACTTGCCATTTTTAACCCATGAGAAACACTAGAAAAGTTTTACAAAGGGAAATCACCCCATTTTGTAATCTAGTCAGTAGGGCACACTGATGGAAAACAGTAAGGACAGAAATCCATCATGATCTAAGCGACATTCCAACACATGTAGTGTTTATCGCCAGCTTCCCTAGGAAACGGTCCCCGGGTGGGTTTTAATTCAGTCAGGTATGGGTTTCGGCCGGCTCTGAGTGGCGGTCTGGGGGCAGAAGTGGCTAGACCAGGGATGTGGAGGGGATCACATTAGACCAACGAGGAGGAAACCTCACGTGGGAGTCTTAAGATAAGCAGCCGACCTGGTGACTTAGGTGGCTGCCCCTTGCCCAAGACAGACAACTTTATATAAAGACAGGAGTAAAGAGAGGGCATCACGTTTTGGGGTCTTATTACCATTCTGGCCAGGGTACTAATTTCCAGCCAAAAGGTGGGCTTTCTCCTCCCCGCAGAGTAGCCATGGGCTAGAGGACTGCAGCCTGAGTCAAAGTGTTCCAATAAGACCATGAAGTCAAAGTAAAGGAAGAGAAGAAGAATTACTCACCAAGTTTACACCGAGGCTCAGAGTCCAGCTGATAAAACTCAGCCTCTCCCACAACTGGGTGCCAAGCTGATGTGGTTGGGAGTGGGGTTCTGAAGCCAACGGCCAACAAAGAATTCTTGAGATGTTTTCGGTGCAAAAAGATAGTTTTTATTATAGCATGGGAACAGGACCCAGGGACAGAAAGAGCTACATTACATGTGTGAGGGGTGAGTGATTATGGAAGATTTTCTATCCTATGGAGGGGAGGGTGATGTTAGGGCTCCAGGAAATTGAGTCTTTAGGTCTCTGGAGGTCTGGCTACTGATAAGATTGCTTTTTTTCCTTATAAATCATTAAGACAGTTGTAAACTGGTGGAGATGAATCCCGCATGGCTGTGATCTCTATCAGCTAACCGACTATGATCTCTATCAGCTAACCGTTTGTTTTTCCCTTTCGTTTGTTCTCGGGCAGCAGCCGGGACTGCCTGAGGAGTGTCACACGTGGATCCACCTGGGGGTGGTGTTGGGGGTTATGGGATGTTAGCTTGTGATTTGCCCTCAGCTTGCCTTCTGCTCCCTCATCACTAGAACAGACGCACCGCACTGCCTGTTTGCACAGACTCCCCACCGCTGGCTCAGCAGCCCCTGGAGACTCCCCTTAGTTGGGGCGAGCGGTGCACACTCCAGGGGGGGGCTGAGAGAACCACACGCCCTCTCCTGAGACTGCTCTCTGCAGTTTCACTGTCTGCACCAAACATGTGCTCCAACTGGACAGGGGTCCAGTTTCCCAGCCGCTCCCTGAACACCCCCCTGAACTTTCTGGCCTCTGGGCTTTGGCTCCTGCCAGCCTCTGCCCCCTCCCCTGGTAGCTGCCCACTGAAAAGCCTCCTGTTCTTCCTGGTCTATGGCACTCAGGCCACACCTCTTTAATAACAACTGCTTCCTGTTGTTCTGAGGCTGGCCTTTCAAGGCCATGTCACAGCTCCTCTGTCTGATGGCACCTTGTCTCAGCCCTCCACCCCCCAGCCAGTGGGCTGCTGCTCCCTGAAACTGCTCTGATAAATCTGTACAGGAATTACTGACTTCTTGCTCTTGGTGATAATAACAGCTACTCTTTCGGAGAGATTATTATGTGCTAGTAGCCGTGCTAATCACCTGGACGCTTTGCGAAACTGATGCCTTTCCGGGGCATCTGGGTGGCTCAGTCGGTTGAGCATCCGACTTCAGCTCAGGTCATGATCTTGTGGTTCATGAGTTCAAGCCCCGCCTCGGGCTCTGTGCTGACAGCTCAATGCCTGGAGCCTGCTTCGGATTCTGTGTCTCCCTTTCTCTCTGCCCCTCCCCTGCTCATGCTCTGTCTCTGTCTCTGTCGCTCTCTCAAAAATAAGTAAACATCTAGAGAAACTAAAAATAAAATGATGCCTTTCCATTTTCATGATGCCCAGGGGCAAATATATAGGCAGATGAAGGGCCCAGACCTCACACTTTTCTAGGTCCCTCACCAGCAGTGTGGCAGTTCCATTTACACAATGGTAGGTCAACCAGCCAAAGAGATCTGAAACTTGCATCCGTGGGGTCGCCCCAGGGTCCCAGAAGGGGGAAAGCAAACCCTTTCTGCTGCCCAGAGCAGCATTTCTTTGGAGGGACAGTGTGGGATTGGGTTGCCGGAGTGGTGCCGACTCACTCGGGAAGACCCCTGTTGTTTATCTACACGGGGCACCCGCACAAGCCTCTAAGGCCAGCCTGGTTATGATTGCCCTTTTATAGATGAGAAGATTGAGGCTTAGGGAAGCTGAGAAATCCTCCCCAAAATCTCCCAGGAGAGCTGAAACTTGCATATTATCTTTGACACCAGAATGCAAGCTCTTCGCTCACCCACGACACTGTCCTTCTCCTCCTTTACAATTTCAACGTGTGCCCTCTCTCCCCAGGTCTCCTGTGGGCAGAGGCAGTGTGCCGGAGCCCTGTGATTTCCCGGGTCTGCCTGGCACGGCACCATGCACGTGATAGCTCAGGAACGGCAGTACTTGATCGAAAAGCTAGAGCATTCCCCCATAGTTAAAGTCAACCCACTGAGATTTCCTGATCTCCAGGATTCTTAACTGCTCCATGGTGCTCTGTGCTGCCTGCGGCTGGCTGCCATAGCAAACCATTCCCAGCATGGTTGCTCGAAGCCATGGACGTGTATTCACTTAGTTCTAGAGGCCACAAGCCAGAATCAAGGGTGTTGCGGTGCCAAACTCCCTCCGAAGCCTCTTGGGGAGAATCCATCCCTGCCTCTCGTAGTGTCTGGTGGCTCCCAGTGTTATTGGACCTGTGGCTGCATTATCCGGTCTCCGCCTCCACTTCCCCATGGTCTCCTTCCCTGTGTGGCCCTGCGTCTTCTCCTTTTCTGTCACAAGGACACTGTCGTTGAATTTAGGGCTTAGCCTAACCCCGAGATAATCTCAAGACCTTTAAGTTGGAGAAAAATAAAACGTAGTAGCCCCAGGCACCGCACTCATACTTCATCTCATTCTCACAAACACTGTGCAAAGTCAGGCGTTATTAGTCCCATTTTAAAGATGGGAAATGGGAGACTCTGAGAAGCTGTCCAAAGTTTTAGAGCTAGAAACTCACAAATGTGGCCAGGTTTACATAGCATAGTCCTCACATCCTTCTCCCTTCCTCCCTCCCTCCCTTCCTTCCTCCCTCCCTCCTTTCCTTCCTTCCTTCCTTCCTTCCTTCCATAAATATTGAATAACTACTGCATGTGAAGAACCATTCTAGGTGTTGAAGATACAAAAAACAAAAACAAAAATCTCTGCATGAGGCTGATATTCTAATGGGAGAGACAGACATTAAGCCATCATGTAAAATGCATTGTATTTTGAATGATGACATTGCTATGGAAAAGTTTTAAAGCAACGTGCGTACCTTGTTTGGACTTTTATTCAAACATATCCACCGTAACAAGACATCTTTCAGGTAACAGGGAAATTTGAATATGAACTGGTATGTGATACTGTTAATTTGTTACATCTGAGGATGGCATGGTAGCTATGTTTCTAAAATGTAACTAATTGAAAGACGCAGGCTGAAATATTTGTGGATAAACCAAGATTGCAAAAATGTGGCTGATGATTGATGTGCGAGGATAGATTCCTACGGAAGGGCCTTCATACTCTTCTAATTTTGTAGATATTTGAAAACTTCCATAATATAAAGTTTTGGATAGGAGTGGCAGTTAAGACATGTAAGAGATGTTGTAAGACCCCAACAGGTAGATGAGGTGTTACAGCAAAGGCTTGCATGAGGCGTGGAAGGAGCCATGTGACTCTCTGAATGTTCCAGGCAGAAGTGGGAGATAGGCAGAGCTCTGAGGTGTGAGGTGTGAGGTGTGAGGAGGCAGGGCTCCACCCCAAAGAAACTGGGCCAAACCGTAAATAGGAAATGAAAATACGACAGCTATAGCTTCCCCCAGCTTTATAGATGTTAATAATGTACTTTATTGTGTGTTATGTAACAGGACATTTTCACCCAGTATCACAACACTACGTAAGTTGTGGCATCATTTGAGACCAATCCTTCAGACTTTAAAAAGGAATTGAAATTTTGAGTGTAGACATCACGACTCTTCAAAAGCCGAAAACAGTGGCCGATTTTCAAACTAGAAAAGGCCACTGAAGGATCCTACAGGTTTTAACATCTAATAAGGTAAGTGTAATTTGCTAGAACCCACGGAGTCAAAAAGCTCTTTGGGGTCCTTACCATTTGTAAAAGCCTGAGGGATTTTTGAGACCAAAAAATGAGAAAATCACTGTGGATTATCCTCAGCCTTGACAGGTCCGTTTCTTCCTATGACCTCACACGGAGCTATTGTTTTAAGAATTCCAAGGACCTCACACGGAGCTATTGTTTTAAGAATTCCAAGGACCAAACCCATTTCCTGGCTGGGCTTGACCCTTGTAGATCAGGAAGCAGCTTTTCAATGACCTGAGGGACTTTAACCAAAATAAGCTGTTTCCTCCTCAGTGTTTTTTTTTTTGTCTGGTGGTTATTTACTTACTTTTTCTTTTTCTCATTTTTTCTATTTTTCATTTCTAAATTCTCCTTCATTATTTTCTTTTTCCTTTCTTCTTAGTTTGTTAGTATTTGTTTGCTTATTTGTTTTTTTGGTCTGGCGTTGTGTTTTTGATTCTGCCATAAAGGCAAGTTCATCAGGTGAACTTTGAACTGATTCGGACCAAACTCCTCACCAGTTTTTCCCAAATGTAAGGGGACCTCAGGACACCCTGAACTCCAATTGCAGTGAACATCCGACACAGCGACACATTTGAAGGAGTGGAGGCTGAAGAAACACTCTTACTAGGAAGGGTGCTAGTGGAGGGGAGGTGTGTGAGCACCTAGCGACTTCTGGCGGGAAGGAAAAGGGGTGAAGGCCGATGCCATCAGATAGCATCTGCTGTGCAAGCCGTCACCAGAATTATATTGTCCATAGAGATTTAAAGGCAGAAAACCCACTTTTGGGTGCTAGCATGAATATCAAGTTGCATACTTTGGCTTCAGTGGCAAACACATCTTTTACAATAAGCTGCATGCCTTCTGTGGCAGCCCCTCCCTGCCCCCCCACCCCCCATGCTGCCTCCAGAGCTCTTCCAGGGCCCAAAGTACAACCTGGTGGGATGTATGGAGTCTGGAAGTCATCCAGTATACATTGGTCAATGGATTCCTGCCTTTTGAAGGACAGAAACTCAAAGAGCCCCGGGAGGGGTACTGAGTGGAATATATCCCATTGAGTTCTAGTCAATGGAATTGACAATCTGCTCGAGAAATTTCTCATTCTCAATCCCAGCAAGAGAGGAACTTTGGAGCCAATTGGGAAGTCTCCGTGGATTATTGTGGATCATGAATACGAGGAACTAACACCCCGCATGGAGCCATTCTCCGACTACCAGGGCCCTCGGCAGACTGAATTCGGGGTGTTCGTGGGTTACACGTGGAAGGAGAGACCCAGGACTCACTGACAGGCCAGAAATGCAATGGGGAAGTGGCCATGTATCTGCTCCTGCGTTATAAGAGATCCGAGCCTGAGGGCTATGCCACCACCCTGAAGCCTGAGCCTTCAGCCGATTTAACCAACAGCCGCTGTCCTCACCATCCACCAAGGTACAGCACGGGCTCTTTGCCAGCCACAGGCTGCACAATTTCAGCAGCCAGACCTTCCCACCCTGAGATTACTCTGAGATCACTCAGAGGAGCCAGGCAGATCCTGAGGAGGCTCAGGGGACAGGGTGCCAGCTCCCTACCCAGCTTGCAGGGAAAGAAGACCCCTGCTCTTCCCCCCCACCCCCCCCCCCCCCCGCCCTTCCTGCCCCCAACCGCCAGCAGTGACCTCTCCACCAGCATAGATCACAGCAGGAACTCCTCACTTTTGGGGAGAGCCAGCCTTGGCCAGGCCAGAATGGCAAAGACACACGAACTGTGTCAGGATCCCACAGCTTCTGCCTCTGCCACCCCTCCCAGACCCCTTGGGGTCTCCCAGCACCCCTGCTCCAGGAGCCCAAGCAGGCCTCTGGGCTGCACCCCACAGAGAGCACCTGGAGGATCCACCAGCCAGCAAAACCCCCCCGCTGTGTTTTGGTGGCTTCTCGTCTGCCCACAATGTCAGCGGGGGTGGTGGAGAGCCGGGGGTGTCCGAAGGGACCTCCACCGCCCAGACAGATGCTTCACCCTAAGGTGAGACCTTCGCCTCTCCCCACGGCAAGGGCCACTGCTCGCAGGGGACCGCTGGGAGCTTCTCCGGGAAGTCCAAGTTCAAATCTGCAGGCAGAAATCTTTGTCCAAGGTTTTCCAGAACAAAACTCCAAGGAACCTGAAAGCAAAGACAGAGGAAAAGCACTTCCCTCTCTCATATGGTGGGCAGCTGAGGCAGCGATGCAGAAATGAAACGAGTTTCCAGTGGCCAAGCCACACTCACTACACTTCAGGTGGGGGATGAAGGATCATCGGCTCTATGGAGCCCAATGAGCTGACGTGGGAGACAGGCTAGTGATTCACACAGACCAATGCCAGAGCAGCTGTGGCAGGCCTGGGCTGCCCAGAACCTTCCAGGACAGCCTCCCCACCCCAGGGCAGAGCTTTGCCTCCAGAACCATGACTGCCCGGGGGACAAGGGGAGTGAGTCGCCTGGCCGCTGCAGGCCACGCTCTGCCCACCTAGACCAAACCACAGCCAGGCCCTGAGTGTTTCCCTGGAGCATCAGCCCCTCTCCTGTCCTTCCCTGGCTTCTCTTCTGCCTTGCGGGGGAGGGGAGATGACACTGTGAGGTAAACAAATATAATTCCGGCAAGGACAGCCAGCAGCTACTTGCTGGAGCTTGCTGAAGGCAGTGAGCCACCATCCCTGGTAGACACTCGAGGCAGCAGGGCACTGGGAACACTTACTGGGGAAAAGGCAAGACTCCACACCATGCTGGTTGGAGACTGTTGGCCCTGGGAAACTGGAGGAGGGCTAAGGAGAGCAGGACACCTCATGTGACTGTCTGGGGAGCAAATGTAGCTTTCTGTCGCTGGCCCTGAGTTGGGAGTGTGAATATAGGGAGGAAAACAAAACGGGGCAGTCACTGATCTAAATTCTGGTGCCTGTTGCTTTCCTGGATTAAGGGGCCCAAAGTGGTCACCAATTTCAGGTTGCAGATTAATGGGGCCACAAATCAATGAAGACCTATAACTCTGGACACGTCTTCCTCCGGGGAAAATTAACATCCAGGGAACAACCTTTGAAAGCTCTTACACCTGGAGGAATCCCCATAACCCTTCAGAACCATCCCGGAATAGGGCTGGGGTGCTGCAGTTGTCTACTTTTGGGGACACTGGCACATCGTGCAGAACCATGTATCAACTGGCCCAAATAGTCTCTTCCTTGGTCAACTAGTCACACAGAACTCCCCACGAAGACATAAGTAATGACCGAAAAAGAAGAGGGTGTATTAGGAGTGTGGGTTGTGGGATCCTGCTCGTGGGACTTATTTTGCCTGTAGGTCCTACAGAGGCTCAGTATCATAGGTGTCTTTCCACTTGATGATGCACGGCTCTTGTGCACACCCAACTTGGTAGTCTGCTGGGTCAGACTACTTCTAATTTATCATGAGTAGGCAAGCCATATATAACTTGGGGGTCCCTGGGCAAGCACTCAGTCTCTACTGGAGCCCCAGAAAAGCTAGACACGGTTCCTCATAGGAACGTGCAGGGGATATATAGCTGTGTTTTAAGATCCTAAAGCTGTGTTCTGTGATTCTCCCGGCAGAGGCCCCGCAGAGCACCCCTACCTGCCCTAGACACCTCAGGCACCATTTAATCTGCTGAGTCACCTGGCAAAAGTCCCGGAGCAGCTCGCCTGCAGCTCAGACCGGTTGCAGATCCTTCTCTTTTGCGGGCCCACTCAAAACTGGCAGCCTTTAGGGTAATTCAGAAAATGGGTCAAAGTAGCAGGTGCAAATGAGGTACATGTCATCTCCAAACTCCAAGGAGCCCTGCTAGGCTCGGTGCCTCTTTCTCCATGGTCAGGGGGAACACTGGAAACCACTGTCGACATGCCTCAGACACTGGACTCCTAGAAACGTCATTAAGGTGGCAGACCTCTAAAATTTTAAGGGGCTCATTTCCCACCTGCTGATACACAGGTGTCCTACCCAGGAGTCTAGAATGGTTGCAACTCCTGCTTTCCACGTCCACATCAGCATAGCAGTGCCAACACAGTGGGCCAGCATGATGTCTTGTCAAGTGGAAGAATGATCAGTCTCTGCAGGGGCCGTAGTGACAGAGGACTGGAGAATTCTATATCCCTGAGCTTGGGCAGGGAAGGTGGATTTCTGGTCCTACCAGCTCAAAGCAAACTGTTTTTGTGGGTGTTTACCAACACAAATAGATAATGCAGCATTGACCAGATACCCAGCTACATAGCACACGACAGAGAGCATGTTGACTTGCTCTAAAAGCAAAAAGACATCTGGAACAGCAGCTAAATTGGAGTGGCCACCTGAATCAGCTGATAACAGACTGTCACCAAAATTCACCTGCCTTTTGTACAGACACAATTGAGCAATTCTTTAAAAAGGAAGACATCGGCATTATGATTGCACAATAGGGGTGCCTGGGTGGCTCAGTTGGTTAAGTATATAACTTCAGCTCAGGTCATGGTGTCATGGTTGGTGATTCTAAGCCGCGCATTGGGCTCTGTGCCAACAGCTCAGAGCCTGGAACCTGTTTCAGATTCTGGGTCTCCTCTCTGCTCCTCCCCCCTTGCACTCTGTCTCTCTTTCTCTCAAAAATAAATAAGCATAAAAAAAAAGATTGCACAGTAAACGACCAGAATTCAAATCCATCTGTCTGGTTCCAAACTTTAAGGCCCGCCCCCACCACCAACATTAGACCTCAGAGGCTTTCTGGTCACATTCCACCCTCCCCCATGCCCCCCCCGCCCAAGTCTAGACCTGAAGATTCATGACCAGGAATAGTCTCATTTTTTTGGTAAACAAATTAAAAAAAAAAAAAAGATTCATCTTCTTACAAATATTAAGTAGACTGCGAAGTAGTTACCCCAAATAAGACCCAACCCTTCCGCAAACATTGCATGGTTTCTGATGAACAGCCAAATGGTAACTGGCTGTCTTGATGGCCGTTTGGTACCTTTATCCTCAGCGGCCGCGCTGGGCGCGAGCAGTGGGAGCGGGGACCTTCGGGGGCCAAGTGTCCACCACCCACCGGCCTCGCCCCAGTGACTTCTCCGTCTCCTCTCGCGCCCAGTCCCGGGGCCTGGGCGGCAGCGTTCGCCAAAGCTGCGGGATGCGCGCAAGCCCCAGCGGAGACCCTGCACAACGAAAAATTCATTTTCAAGCTGCCCACCAAGGATAAAAAGACCTTAGGCTCCGTGGCCAACCTGCAAACGGCCATCGCAGACCGTGAAGGGCTTGGAGGAAAAAGCGAAGGGGGGTTCACGGTGCCGGGGTACAGCCCGGGCGAGAAGCCACCGCGCGGGGGGTGTGCACACAGAGGAGGCCCAGAATGTTGAAACTCACATGTAACGTGCCATGCCTGTTAGGTAACAGCAGGCCTTCTAAAACAGCCTAGCCCAAACAGGATTGTGCACTCCTTCACCAGGGAACAGAGGCTTCCCAGGGATGAGGGCGGCGCGCGGGGGCGCGGGCGCGCTCCGCACGCACCCGAGGCCGGTGCGCGCCTCCCTCCGCGGCCACTTTGGAGCCCAGCTTACTCCAGCTCTGACAACCTGCTAACTGATCATTTGAAAGGATCACAAGGGCACGCGGTTGCAACCGAGGTGAACACCACTCGGAAGAAAATACAAGTCCTGTCACCTGACTGGCTTCATGTTGGAAGTCAGCGCGCAGAAGAAGCCTCATCCATGAAAGTGCTAGGGACTCGGTGCCCTCACTGTACCAGTTGAAGACAGAGACATTGGCCTTCCCAACAGAATGATTCATCTTCGGGGGAAGGGGGTCCCGTTTCCCCAGGAGAAAGAGGGCGCAGGGGTAAGAAATGCCTGGATGACATCACAGCAGCCAGGCCCCTACCCATTCCCCGTGTGCCTACGCAGCCTTCCCTAGAAAGAGCGCTTCAGGACCGGCAGAAACAGTCATGAGGAGATGCAAAGCAAGCGCACAGAACGAGAATTAGCTCAGAGACGGAGTTCAAACGCAGAAGAGCTACAGTCCAGAGGGGGCAGGACAGAGAAGGGATGGAGAGCATTACCACGTACTGTGAGGACAGGAATTGGGCTCCTCTTGACTCCCTCCCTACTGAACTGTGGTCATCCTACGGGCTTTGTAACAGCCTTAAGGTCAGTGTCAGATGATGTTGAGGGCAGGAACTTCATGAAGTTACACCGAGGAAACTACAAAAAATGCCCAGTTATCTGTCAAAAGATGACTTTCAGGTGTTTGAAAAGTGTAATGTTCGAATATTGTGTTTAATCATACCGTATTGAACTTAAATTTTTTTTTAAACGTTTATTTATCTTAGAGAGAGGGCGGGGGCACGACCGGGGGAGGGCCAGAGAGCGAGGAAGACACAGAATCCGAAGCAGGCTCCAGGCTCCGAGCTGTCAGCACAGAGCCCCACATGGGCTCCAACCCTCCGATTGGGGGGACATCATGGCCTTAACCGACTGAGCCACTCAGGCACCCCTGCACTGTGTTGAGCTTTGGTACCATGGCATGGGTTGCTCGGAGTACCGCTTATGTAGAGCACTTTCTTTTTTTCCTTTGCGCCAAATGAAAGCAGGTGACTGCTGTTTGCCTTATCCTCACCTTTGTCATAGTCTTTATTACATTTCTTCCAGTGAAAGACTTCG